TGCAAAACAGTGACGTTGTGTTTGTAGCTTAGTCCTTGGCGCGCGTTCTAAAACCGGTTCTGTTGCTCCAACTTATTCTTTGCGCTACAAGACTATAAGTGTCTAACTGGGTCAACTAGACCCGGTCTCCCCACTTCACCTCCTAATAATCAGTTGCGACGTACGTTTTGCTTACAATATGAATTGCTGAAAACTTTATTTTGCCACAATTCAATTTGAAACTGAACTAGAATAAATAAGATAACATATAGCAAAAATATTTTGAACATGAATTAGCCTTTAAAGTGGAATCTACTTTAGATACTGCACATAGATATACAAGTTTACTACTCAAACTTAAAAAGTCAGAACAGAGGACAAGTCGGATAAGTGGAGTCGCCCATTTAGTTTTCTCCATTCTGTCTTTTTAAACTACCATCTAGGATAATATAAGAAATAAATATATATCTGTACAATATAGTTTGATCAAAAATTTTCTTCAGTCTCCTTTAATTTCAAATTAATGTTTTTATTTCTTTTACTCAAAAACTTGTTTGTGGCGTTTTCAACGGCATGACAAAATCGTATATGAAACTTTCTGGAAAACTGGCGTCTTACAGCCACTAAATAAACATTTTCCTCCATAATTTCCCCTTTATTTTCCTGCCTTTCTTTTCCAAATTCCAATTGTCATCAAATATTACCATTATCTTTAAGTTAATTGCCTTATCAAACATTCCAGTTTCCAGACATGAAAACCAACAGCAATGCTTATAAAACAGACCATAAAGTTGTCTGCGTTGCAAAACAGGAAAAACATATTACGTATTGCAATTTACAGGTGATGGAAACAAATTGTGTAAGAATTAAGTACGTTTAACGTTTTATTACTTTTTGCACTATCGCAATTCATATATATTAACTGCTTGATTGGATGTATAAACATCCATTTATTTACATTGCACTCGATGATTCATTTTGAAGTGCACCCATTCCAAATATGGTCAATCAATGACGTCACATCGGAAGTGGAAGGTCGCTTTGGGCAAGCGCAGTATCAACATCCGGGTGTTTTCCTCTCAGGTCATTTATGGGTCAAATTCTGTAGGATAAACGACAAGTTGGGAATCTCCTACATTTATCGATTTTTTCAGAGTTTGCTGCGGTGAATTTGATTTACTTCGGTCATGGCGGTAAGCAGGCGACGCTGCTTAGCCGACAAGAATTAAAGTCAGCTACAGAGGCGTTTTGTAACGGGACGACCCGAGTGTGAAGTTTGACAGGAGTGTCAAAGAAAAGAAAGGGTGAACTGGTCCTGTTTATTGTTTGTACCTCCTTATTGTAAAACTTGGCTCAGCTGTTGGACATTAAGTACAGATGCGTGAGACGATGAACGCGATGAAACCGGTAAGTGGAAAGGGGCTATATTTCATTCATTTCAAAGGGGGGGGGGGGGTCTTATGTCTCTCAATCTCTTCTTTCCTCTCCCCTTCTCTTTCCTTCCTTCCATCTCTCTTTTTCTCCCTAATACACATCCTCACGAACAAGCACACATTCGTCTTACATATATATATATGTGTAATAGTCTCTGCTACCATTTTTCCTTTACATCACTTCTGTAAATCACCAGGTAGTCCACTCTAAAGTAGCGCTTGCTGAGTTTTTACAAACAAGGTGCCCGTTAATGCTTCATGTCATGCACAAAATAAGAGTAGCCGGGACATGAACTTTTTTCATTCAAGTCACATCTTCACAGGTCACTATGACTCACTGGGACTCTGTGACTCTGGCACACATGCAAAAGGCAAAGAAAAAAACACAGTCTGACATATATAACTGCTCTCTTATTGTGTATACTTAACTTTATTTTTAGACGCAGAGACATAAGAAGCAGCATTAATTTCATCAAGAGTCTCATTTGTCTTAGACACATAATACTGTCTTTCAATATTCATGATAAATCTTGTAGTTTTTCAGCAATAACCATATCATTATTGATAAGGGTAATATTGATCAAAGTCCTTGATGATTAAGGATGATTCTGTATATATCTGA